TGGAAATACAGGGAATCCAGGGCAGATGATCCCTACAGGACCAGTGGTGTGAGTGGCTAAATCAAGTGCTTAATTGATATTACAGATTGAATAGAGCCCTTCAAAAAGATGTACTGCAAATCTTAACCTCCATGTTTGTGATGATAATTCCATTGGAAGTGGGTTGTTTTGTTATGTTAATGCAAGATCATTAGTGTGGGTGTGTTTTAAATTAATTTGTATTCTTGAGCTATTAACGAGATTAAACAAGTGTGTAAATGGAGACAGGGAAAGAGAGATGTCAACCACACGAAGGTTGTTCAGGAGCAGAAGCTCAAAAGAAACAAGGCCCTTCCTCCAGAGCCAACAGAGAGAGGAAGCATTCACCTCGAACCGGTGCTCTGGATTTGGACTTCTAGTTTCCTAAACTCTGGTGGCAGAGTTGGTTGTGTTGAGCTGCTAACCACAAGGTCAGTGGTTTGAACCCACCAGCCACTATGCTGGGAAAGATGAGGCTGTCTACTCTTGTAAAGGCTTAAAATCTTGTAAACCCAAAGGGGAAGCTCTACTCTGACTATTGAGTATCTACAGTTGAGAATAAACTTGATGGCAGTGAGTACGAAACTGAGGAAATAAATTTATGTTTGTGAAAGCCACTCACTTGGGGCATTTCTATTTATAGTCGAACTAGGTAACTAGGGCAGTTGAAATCATCAGCATTGGGATTAATCGATAACATGTACTTCTTGATCTGATGTATTGGGGGAGATACAGCATGAAATATTCCTACACCAAATACATAATTATAATTTAATCATGAGGAAATACTAGATAAACCCATTTTGAGCAACATTCTTTGGTCAGTACTTTTCTAAAATATCAAGGATTTGGAAGACAAAGAAACACCAAGGAGCCAGATCAGATTAAAGGAGACAGAAGAGCCATGATAAGTAATGCACTTGGATGATGTTAGATTGAATGCTGCACCAGGGAAGTTTTTTTTCCCTTTTGCTAATGTGAAAATTGAAAAAATTCTACAGACTGGATAATAGAATTGATCAATATTAATTTTCTGATTTTTGTAATTGCACTATAGTTATGGAAAATAATAGTCTTATAAATAATCAGGATTAGGAGTTAGCAAATATATCCTTGGTAATAGAAATGATACCATGTTATAATTTTACAAGGCCAACAATTTATTCATTGAAAATATCTGTTTTCAGAGGAGCTGACAATAAGGGCTCAAGTAGAAAGATAATGTTTTGAAAATGATGATGAGATGACCACATGTGTACAAGTTTGCTTGACAGAATTGATTTATGGATTGTTATATTATCTGTAAGAGCCCCCAATAAAATAATTTTAAATAAATAAATAAAAAGAGGAAAAGTTTAAAAAAGAAAATGCCTTTTTCAACAACAAAAATGGCCTTTCCCACTGGAATACAGTAAACAAATCAACTACATCTCTAGAAAGAGATGGTAAAGAAACTCAAAATTAATCAGAATAAGGCCAATGACCAACTGTGGAATACACCATCTACTGCTTATAGGCAAGTTCAAGTTGAAGTGAGAGAATACTAAACCAAGTCCATGAGAGCCGATATAGAACCTTGAGTTTATGCCCCTGAATTTAGAGACCTTTTCAAGAATAGATCTGACACATTGACCACTAATGACCAAAGACCAGACGAGTTGTGGGATAACATCAAGAACATCACACATTAAGAAAGCAAGAGGTCACTAAAACAAATGAAAAAAAAAACAACCCAAAAAACAATGTCAGAGAGATTCTGAGACTTATTCTTAAATGTATAATAGCTAAAATGAATGGAAGAAATAATGACGATAAAAGGCTCAAAAAAGATTTTAAAGATGGTTGATAAAGACAAAGTTAAGTAGTGAAAAACTAAGGGGAAGGGCACATACTTAACATTCCTCAAGCTGAAAAATTCTGAAATAAAAACTCAAGACTCTAGTTGTAACACTGAAAGAGTCTATGGAGAAAAAATTAAATAGTGCAGGAAGCATCAAAAGAAGTGGAAAGACTACAGTCACTGACCCAAATAATTGTACCAAATTGGTCAACGTCCAACCATTTCAAGGGATGACATATGATAAGAGAACTGGTGATCTTTTATATCTTTATAAACCATCTTTGAAATCTTTTTTTTTTCTTTGAAATCTTTTTGTTCAGCCTTTTATCTTCATTATTTATCCGAGAGGAATTACTGAGAGCCAAATGGAGGGTTAGAATGATAGTGGGATAGGAGGAAGGTGAAAGGAAATAGAGGAAAGAAGTAGGAGGTACAAGCTATTTATAGAGCTATAGCTATAGCTATAGGGATGTATACATGTAAATATATTAATTTATAATGAAAGGGATAGAAGCCAATGTACAATGACTTATATGTTAAGTATTAAGAAAGCAGATGGACTTTGGCCTCTACTCAAGGCCTCCCTTAACACAAGAACACTTTGTTCTAATAAGCTGGCACTCTTTAATACTCATCTTCCCGACAAGCTCTATCGCTGAAGACAAAATGGGTGCATAAGCAAATGTGGTGAAGACAGCTGATGGTGCCCAGCTAGCAAAAGATATAGTGTCTGGGGTCTTAAAGGCTTGAAGTTAAACAAGGAGCCATCTACCCGGGAAGCAAATAAGCCCACATGGAAGAAATATACCAGCCTGCGTGATCATGAAGGTTTGACAGGATCAGGTATCAAAAGATCCAAAACAAACAACTATGTTGATGTGAAAGAGGGGGATTGGAGCGGTGACCCAAAGCCCATCTGTAGACAACTGGCTATCCCTTCACAGAAGGGTTATAAGGAAGGGATGATTCAACCCGGGTGCAGTAGAGCACCGATTAAACACATATCATTTCTCTAGATCCTGAATGCTTTCTCCTTGCCACTACTGTGACTCAGTTCTACCTTACAAATCCAGCTAGACCAGAGTACACACATTGGTACAGATAAGAGCTCTCAACACATGGAATTCAGGACAGATCAAATCCTCAGGAACAGTAATGGGAGTAGCAATATCATGAGTGTAGGGGGATGGGGAGGGCAGAAGGGGGAGAAAGGGGAAACCCATCACAAGGTTGGATATATATATATATATATATATATATATATATATATATATACTACCTCCCCAGGGGGACTAATAACAGAAAAGTGGGTGGAGGGAGGCAACAGACAGTATAAGACATGAAATAACAATAATAATATATAATTGATCAATGATTCATGAGGGTGGCAGGGTCGGGGAGGGAGGGGGGAAATGAGGAACTGATACCAAAGGCTCAAGCAGAAAGAAATTATTTTGGAAATGTTGATAGCAACATATGTACAAGGTCGCTTAATACTATTGAATGATGGATTGTTATAAGATTTAGAAGACCCCCCTCAATAAAATGATTAATTAAAAAAATACTAGAAGCTCATTAAAAAAAAAAGAACTGATGATATTGAAGGAAGAAGCACAAGCTTCCCTGAAGGCACTGGCTGAAAAACAGGATTCAAGAATTGATGGAGTCCTAATTGTGATGTTTTAACAAAAAGGTATAATGCTGAAGCACTCATCTATGCCAAAAAATTTAGAAGACAGTATATGGCCAATCAAGTGGGAGAGATTCATATTTGTGTTCATTCCAAAGAAAGGTGATCCAACAGAATGCAGAGATTATTAAACAATATCATTAAGAGCACATGTAATTAAAATTTTGCTGAAAAGAATTTTGAAAAATGGTTGGACTAGCACATGGACAGGGAACGGCTAGAGATGCAAGCCTGACTCAGAAGAGGACATGGCATGACGGATATGACTACTGAAGCCAGAAGGGTCTTGGCTGAACATGCAAAGGTATCCGACCACGTGGATCATAACCAATTATAGATCACATCGAGAAGAATGGGAATTTCAGAACACTTAATTGTGCTCATGTGGAACCTGTTCTTAGCCAAAGACTTTTGTTTGAACAAAACAAGGGGACACTGACTGCATGGCTTAAAATTACAAAGGGTTTTTGTCGGGGTGCTGTCCTTAAACCACAATTAATTCAGTCTGTACGCTGAACAAGGAATTCAAGAAGCTGGGCTGCATGGAGAAGAATAAGACATCAGATTGAAGGAAATCCCATTAGCAACCTTCCACAGGCAGGTGGCACACCTTGCTTGTTGACAGCAAAAAGGACTTGCTGTCAACAGTGTTTACTGTTGAAAATCAAAGACTACAGAATTCAGTATGGATTACACCTCAACATAACAAAAACAAAAATCCTCAATAGCTACACCAATAAGCAGCATCATGATAAACAAAAGATTTAAGTTGTCAAGTATTTCATCCAACTTGGATCCACAATCAATACTTATGGAACTAGTAGTCCAGAAACCCAACGACATAATGATTTGGCCAAATCTGCTGCTGCTGCTGCTGCTGCTATAGCAGCAGCAAAAATACAAAAATGAAAACAAAACAAAGAAAACCTTTTTCAAGTTTTAAAAATCAAAGCTATCAGTTTGAGGACTAAGGTGCACCTGATTCAAGCTATGGTATTTTCAATCATTTAATTTGCATGTGGAAGCTGAACAATGAATACGAAAACCTAAGGATCATCCAAATCATTGATTTATGCTATTGGTGAGGAATATTCACTATACTGCAAAAAGAAGAAACAAATCGGTCTTGCCAGAAGTACATCCAGGCTACTCCTTAAGAAGCGAATATGGTGAGACTGCATTGAATGCACTTTGGACACGTTATCAGGAGAAACCAGTCCCTGGAAAAGACGACGAGGCTGGTAAAGTAGAAGGTGAACACAGAAGAAGACCTCCCAGATGGACTGCCTGCCACAGAGCTCCAATAACAGGGGCGCAACGACCAGTCCTAAAGATGGCACAGGGCTGGGAAGCGCTTCATAGGGTCACCGTGAGTGGAAACTGACATGGCTGCACACCACCCAGCAGGTAGCAGACGTAACCTATTTCTTTTACTTCCAGAGAATAACTCACGTCACTCCTATTTTTGGCATTTGACTTTGCCAAGACGATGTCCATGGCATCGGGAATGCTGGTGAACTTGTTTTTGTCTGGTGGCTGGCGGTATTTCTTATCACTGATGATCTCTGACGCCCGCTTATTTTTTTCTGCCTCCAATGAACCCAAAGGACTCCATCCTATGCCCTTCAGCCACTCAAGGTCAGCCTTGTACATATTCTGTGAGAAGAGAAAGTAAAGGACCCTTTACACAAGTGACTATGTGTTATAATCAGATGCATTTTAGGTTTTCAATAATTCTTCTGATTAGTTTCTAATTTATCTATTACACACTATTTGCCTGAGATATGAAAAACATGTATGTACCATTTGGTTTAACAGTAACTCACCTCACTCTGTAGTTCATAAACTTTTTTCGCTTGAATAACATCATTCTGGTCAGGTAGACACGTCCATTGATGCAGCCTGTTCCTGTAGTCGATGTCACTGACCAAGGCCTGACACTTCTTGGCCAGCACCACCCCCAGCATGTCCACTGGGCTGGAGTACTTGGTCTTCCACTTCTCAAAGTCCTTCTTGTACTCTCGGTCACTCTGCATTTTGGCCACATTCATGGACAATACCAGTTTCGGGTCATCTTGCACACTCCGGAATCCAATATGGTGACCAAGTTGCTTGCGGTAGCCTTGCTTGTATTTATGCTGAAATCAGAGGCAACACATTTCTATCACCAACATACATGAAAGTCAAATTAAGTCCAACTTGTTTCGTTTGCATGCATTTGTTTCTCAAGACTGAAATAAGAGAAGGGAAAGCTTTGCCCATTTAGTAAGACAGAAAGTCTTGTTAAACTGAAGGTTTCTAAGGAAACCTAGCCGAAAGGATCAGTTACCAGGCATCATCAGAACAAAAAATCATATCATTGTGAATGAG